ACTTTGCTGAAAGCCTGCAGGAGAAATTGCTTTGCTGCTTGCAGACAGTTTGCATTCTGGGCTTGGGGTCTGACTGAGATGCAACACCGTAGCTGACTGCTCTGCAATGGTGCCCACTCCCAGAGCTGCTGGAAGGTTACTGGTAGCAAGTCTTTCTCTCCTGCAAACAGGAATCGTGTGGGCTAGTGGACAGAGCACTGGCCTATGATTCTGGAGATGGGCTCTCATCTACAACTTATGTCCCTTGCTTGTGCTTCAGTTTCCCATCTGTAAAATGGGGATAACAATAGTGACTTCCTTTGAGATCTGCTGATGAAAAGCTAGCGATAGTTTTTTTGTTCTACAGAGGCTCCAGTGCCATTCCCATCTTGGTTCCCATTGTGGGGCATAAGACAAGGACAATACAACATCCAACTGATCCCTGGTGATCAAAACAGCTTCTTGAGGCTGTCATTATTTTGGGTGTTGGCAAAAGCAGCCTGAGCTGGGACCAGCAGTCTCACACATACACCTCAGAGACATATTCCAGCCCAGTCCCCTGTATAGAACTAATGTTCTCCCATTTCAGCACAATGGCATTTTTACCCATCATCAGTGTCATTAAGGGCAGTTTAAAAGAGCACACCTTATGTGTAGCTCTGAAATGTTCATCTTTTCCCTCTCCTTCCATGGGACTGAAATTGGGGTTGAAATAAAGTTTTGCAGTATGTGTGTTTTTAATATCCTGGACAATATGCCCCAGTGATGGGACAGCTATTTAAGAAAAGCTTCCAAAGCTATTATTTCCCCTCCAGCCTTTAGCTGAGATGATGATTTTTTGCCTTCAGCACCTTGCAACTTGGCTGGATGATCTCTCTGGAGTGGATTATGTCATTTGCTGACTGGAGCGTCCACATTTAATGTATTATTATTTATGTGATTATTTTCCTTATTTAGAGCAGTTAGCCTGTATGGCAATTAGGCATCTAAGGAAAAGAGGTTCTTTCCCTAAGGAACTTATAATCTACATTAGAGAGATCATTAGTGAATAATTGAACTCTAATGCTTGGCAACGTTTCACAAGCAGAGAGATCTCGCATGTGCTACTCTTGCGACTCAATGGCAGACATCGATCTGACTTAGCCAGTTTAAAGACAAACAGCATATAGGTTTTTCAGCCATTCTTAGGACATCTATCTCTACAAATGCACACAGGTTTCCTATTCTCAGCTGGCATAATATGGCATGGTGCCATTGTCTTCAGTAGCCCTATGTCTATTGATGCCAGCTGACAGTCTGACCTGTGGCACATCACTTCTGTTCTTCTCAGTAGGCAAAACCCATTTGTTGGAAGATCCCCACAATGTGACAAAAGTGCAGGCTCTGGTGCCTTAACAAAATGGTTAACCTTCTCTCTGCCATTCCTTATAAGCTACCAGTTTTGGGTGCCTCACAAAAGGGAGCAGACTACTGTGGGACAAAGGTCAATTTGGATCTAAGTGGAAGAATGTGACTGGAAGTGATATTGGGTCCAGTTCTGGTTTCCAAGTCATGCTGACTCTGCAAAAATATATCATAGCCTGTAAGAGATCTCCCTCTGCTGGACACAGGCTTAATAGTTAAGTTCCTTAATCAGGAAAGTTGCAGTTAGTTCACTGTGAAACAACTGGGAAAAGAAAGCAAAGAAGAGGGGGAGGGATGGGTAAGTCAGTGAGGCTCATGCAGATGGAGTGTGAGGAAGAAGTGTTGCTACAGCATCCTGGAATATCTCTTAGACCTAGAGCAGTGGTTTTCAACCTTTTTTCATTTGCAGACCCCTACAAAATTTCAAATGGAGGAGTTGTCCCCTTGAATTGTAAGCAGGAGTATTCACATACTGTTGATTGATCATAGTCATCTTTCGCGGACCCGTTAGACACAGTTTGTGGACCCCCAGGGTTCTCCGACCCACAGGTTGAAACCACTGACCTAGAGATTAGGGAACAAATGCAACTGTGATATCTAATAAAGTTGCATGCTTGATTGAACTTGGACTCCAAGATGGTTGGAAGTATACGCTATCCTAGACAGCCAAATACTAATCCCGTTAGGCCAAGGGTGGGCAAAATGCAGCGTGGGGGCCAGATGTGCCTGCCAGGCCATTCTATCCAGCCCATGGGGCCCCTAAAAAATTTAAAAAATTAATATCAATCTGCCCTGGGCTGCCTGTCATGTGGCCCTAGATGGCTTGCCGAAACTCAATAAGCAGCCCTCTGCCCAAAATAATTGCCCACCCCTGCATTAGGCAGAGGGTGGCCAGATTTGGTGTATAAATAACTAGCTCCTGCAACAAATGGCTTCCATTATTTTTTAGGTTTAAGGCAGTGATGGAGGGGACATGGCAGAGCAATGCTATGCTGCCTGATCTTCTACCATGAAGTTCCATACGTACTCTTATACCACTGGCAAAAACCCCATGGCTACTCTGCCTGATACCAGCCCTGTAGATTCAGATCACTAACTCCTCTCTGATGGCCTTTCTTTCCCTGGTGCTAAGCACACTTGAGATGCAGGAAACAATCTTATTCTAGATATTGTGTGTTTGGGCTCTAATGACTTCACTTTTTATGTGAAATATTTAAAGCCATATCTTTCTGGCTATGAGAAGGAAGGAATTCATCAGTGATTGAGCTAGAGGGGGGAATAAAGATAGTAAAAGTTTTAATAAAAATAAAGCAGCTTTTACCTTATACCCCTATGTAATATAATTATACCCATGGACAAAAGTTAATAGAAAGTTTAATAAAAGTACAGTCTTTTAAACTTAGCATATAAAAGACAAGTTTGTTATTCAGTAGGCAACACAACCTTTAACCATTATCCTTACTATATTAGACACAGGATTTGATTTTGTTTCTTTACCACAATGGGAACATACAGTCTTGGATATTACAAAGAAAAAAAATATTTAAAAATAGATTAAAACAAAGGCTACTAAGTTAAAAAGTTAATGTTCCTACTTTATAAAAACATCTATGGCAGATAAAATATAATGGAAATTATATTTAATAACGTATGTTATGTTTTGTTTCTTATATGATAAAAACCATGTAGATACTGTGATTAATACTACAGCATTTTTGTTACACACGAATCATTAAGGGTTGAAACTGTGGTGAAGCACAGGATGTAGGAGATGAAATCACATTGACATTAAGGGAATGTTGTCATTGATTTAACTGGAGCCAGAATTATACTCATTCAGAGGGTTTCTTATAAAAAGCAGACCCATAAATAGCCTGGAACAGAAGTCTTGCAATTTTGAACATGCTTTCCACTAGGATATGCAGACTTTAGCTGTAATCCAAGGGAATATGCCATTAAAGGGCTCCCTTATTATTCACTGGGCATGTCTACACGTGTGCCCCACTGCACAGTCATTTCCAACCCTACCGCGCAGTAGCGGTGGCATCATGGTTAGTGCCTGCCGATGCTATGTCGCTGTACGGAAGAGCTACGATGACACAGTGCCTCATGTAGATGTGCCCACTGATGCAATGGCAACTTAATTGGGCCTAATTCAAGTCTCCCACAGTTTTTTTGATTGGTGTAACTTCCTTGGGTCAGTGTATTTCAAATCAAGATCAGAATCAAGTCACTTCAATTTACAAGTTAAAAAAAACCATACGCTGACAGTATTAGCTATGAGGACAGCAAAGTCAAACCAGCCCTGTTTCCTAGGTCACACTGAGAGAACAGCATAAAGAACACTGCCTCCTTTTCTTCCTTAATACAATATGAGAAGACAGAGCAGGATTTCTGTAGACCCCAATTACTCCTTTCTAGTCAAATTTATGATGGACTGGGAGTTGTTCCTTGGTGGATTTTACCCCTACTTGAAGGTGCTGTTGGGCCACATCCAACCCTGTATGGAAATGGATTTCTCTGCTGTTGGCAGGTGGCTTGGACTAGCCATGCATAGACATTGTGCCCATGGTCCCCCTCCCACTGCTTGGCATCATGGAGCTCCTCTGGCTCCAGGGTCCAGGTTCCCTTTGAAAATCCAGGCAAGGCTCTCTGCTGCCAGTAACATGGCTGGTGAGGAGACAATATACTTTTCTATGTGCACTCACCTCCCTCTACCCTGCCAGCCCATCGAACATTTCTCCTTCTCCTCCTTCCGCTTCCCCTCATACAGTAGAAACTTCTCAGTGGGGTCCGGTGCCATGGAGATGACTGACCCTCTGCCTTCCATGAAGGAAGGTAAGACAGTAGATTTAGGTAGCCCCCTCTGGAAATAGACACTAGTAGCAAGCTCTGCCCCTCTCATGTTAGCTACATGTTTCTCCCCAAGCAGGAAATCTAGTAAGGTGGAGATGTGATGCTGAATTCAGTGGCAATGCGTACTGGGTGCATGGAGGTGCACGTGCACCCTCTGAGAGCACTGGTGCACCCCTGACTAGCTGCGCTCCCCACTTAGACCCAGCCCCCCGGTTGCTGACTGGTCACTGGCATGTGCCCCCCCCGACTAAGGTGGCACCAGTTGCCCATGATGGTGATACTAGTGACTAGGTGCTGATGAGGCATATGGTCCGCATCCTCAGCTGTTGTAATCAGAGCAGCTCCTCTGAAGTCACTAATCTGTACCTAATAGTTATCTGGCCCAGAGAATCCAATGGACTGCTTTGCTCAGGGCTGTCAAAGACCTGGGCACCACAAAATACCCGCTCATTAAGTCCCGTTTTGAACTGATGTCTCTGGAGTTAGGGACATTGCAGGATCCTGATCTCTCTCTCTCAGCGTGGGCTTTCATCCCTGCATGCTCTGATTGCTTATGGCAGCTTTGCAAAATGGAGAGCACTGGCTTTTTTCATGCTGGTGAAGCCCTCTCTTTGATTCTTGATGAACCCATCCAAAGTGCATTTTCCCCTCTTTGTCTGACATGGGACAGGGGATGATTTTTTTCCCATGACTCTTGTGCCCATTGTATTATCCTGTGTCACTGAAGTGCTGCTCATCATAGTGATATGCCATAAAGTGCATTAGCCACTAAAACTGAAAGCTACAACTTGCATCTCGGTCCCTGCCACTGGGCAAATAAATGTGGCATGGAATATTTCTAAATGTATGTGCTCAATCCGCTTTGTGGTTGGAACAAATCCCATCAGAATTAATGCTGAAGGGCACAGAGTGGCAGCAGCTCTACTATCAATGGCATTATTGCTTTCTGCTCATTTTCAGCTTCTGTTTGGATATGGCAATGGCATAGTAGCCTTTAAACTTGGCTAGGAAGATGGGGATTGGGATGATAATAGTTAACATGCCGAATATTGCAGCTAAGGCAGCTGTCACTTGGCCAAACGTAGTTAGAGGGATGATGTCTCCATAGCCCACCGTAGTGAGTGTGATGAGAGCCCACCAGAAGCAAATGAGAATGTCTGTGAAGTGTAAATCTCCAGTGAAGGAAGGATGAATTCCCAGCAACTCTCCATAGAAAAAGAGGGAGCCAAAGAAGAGGGTTTCAAAGGCCAGCATCATCAGCAGGATACAGATCTCTCGGAGGATGGACTTGAGTGTGTAGGACAGGACTCTCAGGATCAGAGGGGTCTCTATGAGCTTGGATATCTTCAGGAGTTTGAGGAGATAGACTACACGCACAGAGCCAAGCCAAAGGCCAAGTGTTGGCATTTTCTGGATCTGCTTGGCTGTGAAGAGCTCAATGTAAACTGGGAAGAGGGAGAGAAAATCAACAACATTCAGGGGGTTCTTGAGGAACTTCTTTTTGTCTGGGCAGAAGCAAAACCGCATTGAAAATTCAAAAGTGAACCAGAGGACGCAAAAAAGCTCCAGGTGGAGCAAGTACGGAGCCTGGTGGTAGTACGGCTCATGGACGACATGGGTGACTTCAGAATGGCTGACTATGGTGAAGTTACCAGCAAAGAAATCAAACTGGGCCTTTGTCTCCTCACAGAATATGATGACGATGCCAATGATGAACAGCAAGGAAACGACAGCCAAACACTGCAGAGAAATGGAAATGTGAGAGGTGACATTAGTTCAATGTAAGGGCATTGCATAAATTCATAGCCTCATTTCATCCATATGATCCCTCATTTCAGCCACCTGATTCCCAGCATTAGACATTCCCTACTCTCAGACTAACTTTAACCCAATTTCCTTCTCAAAGTTGTTTCACACATTCACAGAATCTTTTTTTCTCTTCTGTCCCTTCCTACAAAGTGGAGCCGAGTCAAAGAATATACCTTGAACTGCTGCCATCTAAGATTGTAAGGAATGGGAGGCAGATCTGACAGCTGGAGAGTCATGGGTATGCATCATGGCTGATCATGGGGCAGATTCACTGGGTATATCCACACTGCAGAGAGGCAGCAGGGGCAACTTTAACACAGCATCTCTGGGATTGATGCCTGTGAACAGTAGTAGGTGGGTAGGGCATGCCTGACAATGCTCCTTCTTCAGAAACACTAGAGGCACGGTGCAGAAGTACCCACTGAGGTCTCCCTAAAGCCAAGTATGTCTCAAAGGCCCTGCTGCTTCAGACAGGCTGGAAAATGTCTTCTGTCTTCTCCAATTTCAATTTACTACCTCAAGTACCTGTTTTTCTTATATGAAAGAAGTGTGGGTGGCACCAGCGAGGACGTACTGTGTGCAGGGAATAGGGATAAATAGCACGGGAAACAGCAGGAAGCATGAGAATAAGAGAAGTACTCTTGAAAGCACTAAATAACCACTTAACTGTACAGAGCACAGCAGCAAATAGGCAGCACCAGCATGCAAAGCAGTGGGGCACAGCAAAGGGACATAACAACAGCAGGCAGAGCACAAGAGCAGTGATATGGCAGACAAAGATAAAAAGGAGTTTAAGTAATATGGAATAGGATATACTGGGGAGCTGACCCACAGCACAAACTGAAATCAGCTGGGGGCTAACAAGGACCTGGGACAGTTGCTTAACATTGGCTTGACCATGACATGATTTTAGCCTGTTTTTGAGCTCTAGAAAAGCAGGGGCCTGGGCTGAAAACACTGATAAAGAAGCAGATTTGATTTTGAGTTGCATCAGCCAGTACAGATGGTAAATATCTGAAGTGACCATTCCACAAATAACCCATAGCCTCAAAGCTGTTCCACGGAGGCGTTCAGCAGTTATGAAAATAAATCAGATCATAAAGTGTTCTGAAACCCCCAGATTGGATGCATTTGCAATAAATAGACAGTCTGACTCTGTCCTCACCCCGCGTTTAGAGCAACCCAAATCCACTAGTTTCAGTAAAATACTGGCAGGAGACATAACTGGCTCACAGGCTCCTAAATGTTTTGTTTTGCTTATGTATGTTGTATTGCTTTTGTATGTTTTGTATGGCTTAACAACTAGTAGATAGCAGGACTAGAAATCTTGATGAGGTAATTGCAGTATGATCCCATGAATAAGAGCAAATGGAAATCCATACTAAAAATCTTGGTGAATCAGGCTTGTCCAGGGATATTTTTTTTAATGCCATTATTCAAGTAGGTGTAAGTAGGACTCTGGACATGTGCGTGGAGGTTGTACACTTATTAGTTTTGCCCCCAAGTTTCTAAATTCCAAGAACCCCAACAGATATAGATTTGTGCTGGGGGAGCATTACCTTGGCTCCTACTGAGGAATAAGGCTTTTCAAAGATAGCCCAGATCTTTGGCTGCCACCTGGCTCTCCAGCTGAAATCCCTTCTTTCCATCTGGACTATGAGACACTGGTCATCAGCAAGCTCATTCTCATCCCACATATTGAACTCTTCTGGCTGCCTTTCCTTGTTGTTCAGCTTCAGCCAACAACAGGGTGCTAACTGTGCATCACTTATCTCCCAGAAGGCCAGCTCCTCTTCTAAGACTGACCTGCAGGTGTCTGCAGGGCAATGGAGATGCTTGGTTCTGTAATAGTTCAACACATAGCCAAAGAGTTCAGCGCTCCTGTCAAAGAAAAATTCTTTGGTGCTAGAGTCATACTCGTACATGCTATGGGCATGAGGCTCTGTGAGCCTGCACAGCTTGGTTCCTGGGAAGGTGCGGAGGGTGCTACAGTAAGTTTCATGCCTGATTCCCCCAACGTTCAGGATGATCTTTTCCTTTGCACCTTCCATCTTTCAGGGACCAGGGGGTGGCTGCACGTCCTCTCTTGTTTCCGTTCACCTCTACAGATCCTGCAAGAGGGAGAAAGGATAAGAGCAAAAATTAAAAGAATACAACCTATAAGACTGCAAGACTGAAGCAGGAAGGTTTTCTATGGCAAGTCACACCACCACCACTGAACTTTGTTTCATAACCTCCCTGAGCACTGCCATTTCCTAGAGACCATGCCTGCCCTTCTGCTCTGTTCTGCTTAAGATGGGTTGGAAAGCCACACTCATCACTGTCCCTGCTATCCAAGCCTCTTCTGGTAGTGTGCTAGCAATGTGACTAACATCTGCCATGAATTATTTGTTCTCTCATCCGCACCCCTACAGAGAAGTGTGAGCAGTGCAGAGCCTTGTTTGGCTTGCCTTCTTGTTTAGGATACATGTCTTTCTGTATTTATGTTAGAGACGATAGGTGCAAAGACATGCACCTTGCACTTGGTGCAGAAGGGGTAGTCACTCTGCAGCCTTGAACAGAGACCAAAAAGGTTTTGTCTCCTTCAGGGACAAGTTTTACCCTTATTGTGAAAAGTGCTGTTGCGCCAGAACAGTAACGTTTTCTTCCAGGGTCTTCACCCCAAAATTTTGGGAAAATTTTAAGACCACACCTATGGTGCCACTCCAGGAGATTCTTCTCTCTTTCCATGTGGCATTGATGCTAGTGGGATTCAGTGCTGTGTGACTGCAGAGCTGTGTGGAGCAGCCCTGTCTGCAGTAGGGATGGGAGGATCCCCTGAGGTTCTGTTTTTCCCATGAGTTTTCCCATGATGGAGTCATGTTGGACCAAGCTATCTTCCCAGCTGCAGGATGCTATTCCTGCCTGGGGCCTACTAACAAGACCCCTGGATCAGCTAGGGGGGCTTCCCACAAAAGCCACTCCCTTCTCCCAGGGGCTGACTGCAGTGCCTCCATTCCCTGGTACTCCACCACTGAACACTAATTCCCATTCCATTCCTGATTACTTACAAGCTGTCATCAACTTTACTCCATGGAACATGAGACACATTGAGCCCAAATGTACGGAGTTCATTACTCAGTCTGGTAACAATTTCATTAAAGGAAAAGAGATTCTGTGCATCATCTTCAACCCTCCCACACTCCCCAGTTAATGGCAGCAGGACAGAATCAGGACAATGATGTCCTTAGCTTGAAAGGAGGTAATCCTGCCTTGAGGTAACCACAGATGTCACACACCCAGACACCTCTGTCATTTCTGACCTTCTATGCCATTACTGGAGTCCCTTCCTCGTTGCCATCTGCCTCCTTTACTGGGTCTTGTTGTCTTCTTCCTTCCCATACACACACATACCTGCACCTTGCCATTCATTTCTGTCTATAGCCTATACTTTGGTATAGGAGAATGGCTTTCTGTGCCAGGGTCATGCATGCAAAGCCTCCCACTGGCACGGGTCTCCTTCCTTCTTTCCAGAAGGTCACTTGTGCAGTCTGGGTGGTCTGAATCAAGGAGTGGCCACAGCCTGGTTTCCCCAGTGACTTGCTGGTTGTCATAATTTGAAGCTATGAGAGAGGTCCAGAAGGGAAGGGGTTGCAGACTATTTCCGCATGTTACCAGGCTATCTGCAAGGTGCCCTTCCAGCAAAGCTCAGTAAGAGGAGGCTGGAGCCTGGGCTTACATGTTCAGCAGAAACACAATTAACTGATGTTCAGCTATCATGCTGACTCGTTCAGCACTTACATATGCACAAACCAAAAGTTCATATACAAACACACACTGCATTGAACTGAGTGATAGGAAGTAAGGCTAAGAGTCTGCATTCAGCAAACCTCTTAAACACTTGTCGTTCATTCTACTTTCAACCATCTAAAAAGCAGAGTAGTTTTTAGAGCTCTTGCTAAACCTGTTTACCTCTGCTGAGAATATTAGATGCCTCCCATTCAAATGTACGAATCCCAAGTGAGAAATCAACTAAAAAGTTACATTTTTAGATTCTTACCTTGGTGCTGTTGCAGCAGCTTTGTGACCAGGAATGAAGGGAAGAAACCTGGAAGAAGAAAGACAAGTTCAGTGAAAACAGGATGTTCAGTGGCTGGGCTCCAAGCTTGAGGCTCATGGATGCCAGAAAACAAAACCAGCCAATAGAACAGCAAAGATGTTGAGCTCCCCCCTCTGAGCCTGTCCTATCAGCAATTGCTTTCCATCCTCAAGGGAATAACACTCGAACAAGTCAACAACTGCCGGGCCAGATGTGCTCCTGACCACATTACACTGTGCCTCTGCCACCCGCTGTTCTTCTAACAACCTCAAAGGACAACAATGTTTTGGAAATATGTGGATCTCAAACTTCATAGGCCCAATTTAAAATTAAAATGTTGAACAACAGAAATGGAGGGTGAATTCTATTTTTTCTTTTTTTTCCCTTTCCTTATTCCCTTTTGTTCATTACTCAAGTTAAAGGGGGGAAAACAACACCCCCCTCCCCTTTTTATAAGGGGCTTTGTATTTATATTGGGCTGCCAAGGGATTAATCTTTTGTACCTGCAGGATTTAAAGTTTTGTCACTGATTATTTTAGGAGGAATTTAAGCATATAACTGTTGATCTTGGTAAAGAAAGATATTATCTAACCTAGCTATGTTTGAGATGATTTTTTAAATTTCCTCTTCAAAGGCCATGCTTAGATTTGTTCTCTCTGGATACTTGAATAATTGTCTCTAGATACACCTTCATCATGTCTAGCCTAAACAAAGCTGTTCACTAAGGCCCCAGAATTTTGGTTGATTTAGTTTTAAATTGCATAAGCATAGGGACAGACTGGGACCTCGGCAGAGGAAGTGTTAGCGGACAATCAAGCCAACTGGGTTCATTCCATTTAAATTTAGCACTTATACTCCTTAGGACCCTGAAATCCTCCTTTCTTCTATCTGAAAAAGAGGCATTTCCATTTGGGTCTTACAGGCTGATGTACAGAGCGGGTTCCTGGTCTCCCCAACATACACCATTCCTGCAGTGAAAGGGGCCATAAGCCACAGTAACTGAACAGCTGACGGTTTGTATTTCCAAAGGTGGAGCACATCCATCAATTGGGTCCACGCTGACCCCTCACTCAGCCACCAGCAAGGGAACGGGGCTGATGAAGACGCATGGCAAGGAATTGCTGGTCCACTCTAGGGCCAACAGTAGCTGGTTTGACTTGAAGCCTCGTCTTGTGGGGAGCAGTAAGCGGTCTTTGCCCACCTCCTTAGTTTGCCATTGTGTGCAGCTCAGCCACACCCCACAGGCAGAGGTATTCCACGGACATTGCCCTCTGTTCTAGTTTTTGTGGGAACATCTGGGTCTAAGTGAGACAAAGTCCTTCTCACAGTCACTTGGTCATGGACAGTATATTTGATTCCACTGTGGCTTCCCATGGAGTGTCCATAACCAAACTGTTCCTCTCCATCTGCTCACTCCCCACATTTGCCCAGATTTATGACTCTGGAGCCTTTCATACTATGAAAAGCCTTTAGTTATCCCGTTGTTTTCTAAACCCTTATTTAAATATGGGTGTCCAATTAGCAGTTCTACAGTCTCCAAGTCCTTCTTTATATCCAGTGAGTTTTTGTGTATCCTCCATTTGCTCCCCACCCCCCATTCTCGGTCCCAGACTAACTGATGCTACCTACCTGATTTGTCTCTGTTCTTCTATGGTCAATCTTAGCTTCATATTTAACAAGGAAGCCATAGGCTTTGCAGTACTGTCTGCTGGATACTGTTGCATGGGCAGGTTAAACATTTGCATTCAGTCAGGTTACTGAAGCCCTGAATGCTAGGGTGGTATGATCCAAAAGAGGAAAGCCATTGAAATAATGGAAAACAAAATTATACAAGCTGTTCCCGAGGTCTGAATAAAGCTCTTTGATATCTGTACAACAGCTTGTGCTTTCTGATTGTTGTTAAAAAGCAGATGAAAAGTGCAAATCCAGTTCCCGAGCACAGGGCCCCATTCCAAGATTTTTCTGCCTGGTATCTTCTGAGAATTCGCTCTCCCTACATGGGGCACTGCAGGAGCTTGGCAACAAATGTCAAACCTCTCCCTCCTCCTTTCACTTTTCTTTGAGTAATGAATCTCTTGTTTCATTTTGACCTAGATTTATTAAGACCCAAGGGCCAGGCTGCTTGGAGAAAAGTAGTTACTGTAGTAAACTTTGCTGCTTTTTCAAAGCCCACATTTTAACAAAACTGACTCAGCTCCACTTGCTGTTGAAATGAAGTCACTGCACTTTTTCAAATAGTGGTGACCAAATCCATCTGCTAAATATGCGGGTTGAGCTATTGTTTCCTATTTTCCAGTTCCAGATTCTTTATTGCATTTCTCCCCAGCTTAGTCTTGTAATTAATCAAAGAAACTTTTGAGTACAGAACAGATGTTCTAGGATATTTTCCCCATTTGCTCATATAAAGGAATGGCTGAACTATGTTCTCACACCAATCTACAACTGGTGTGACATAACTGATTGAAACTGCTGTGCCTTTACACCAGTATAATAGGGAGAAGAAGAATGTGGTCCAAAGAGATTTATAGTCTGCAAAAGATTAAAAAGGTTCTTGAAAGGAACAGGGGATTGAGATTTGCAGGTGGAGATGACCAGCAGTGTCTCGTACAAAAGGTGCCTCCGAACAACAAATTCTCAGTATGTGACATCTGAGGTCCTGAAATGCTTGTAGGAAACAGAACCCAAGGGGATACAAAATAGTTAACTAGTTCAAATCTATCCCCATTCAGTAGCAAATGAAGGGCATAGTCTCTCCCACCAACCTGATGATTCTGTGCTCCTCAAGTTTTATAACCTACTGGCCTAAGGGCCTTGTTACATGGTAATTTGGGGTGGCTCCAGGAGCTCTTAAACCCTGGATTGTCCACACACTAATACCTTAAAGTGGCTTAAAGCACTTGTTATGCGGCTCAAAGTTATGCCATTCCAGGGCAGGATCACCTCTTGGTAGGTATAACCCAGCTCCTGTTCCATTAAGGGTGTAGCCACTCCACACAGATGTGCCACTCAGTTTGAAAGTGTGACTGCTCCAAACTCCAAGCTAGCACTAAGCTGATCAACATTTTTAAGTGTAACATAATAAGGCCCTAAGCCAGAAGAGCCCTTTTAAGCTGCTCTAACTTATAGGACTGTTTGAGGATGAGGAAGCAGTAAGTGACTGCCACCCGGTCCAGACCACAATAGAGAAGAGAATCTGAGCTCAAATTGTTACTATTTTACAGATGTTCCCTGTGTGTTAGAAGTAAGCGTGGGGAGTCCCTCCAGTTCTGAGGCAAGAGGTGTTTATGCCATGATGCCTGCTGCAACTGGCAAGTTTTCTTGCACTTAGCAGAGAAACCGAGGAGAAAATGGACCATGGAGGTAGAACAAACCCCGCACTTCTAGAAGAATACTGTGCTCAATGAAGAAGAAACACATTGCTAGGCGGGGGGAGAGCCTACACAGCTGACACCCCTCATGTGCCTTTTCTAAGGGTCCATAATATAATATCACAGGCTCTCTCTCCATTTGCAGTGTATCTGGAAGTGCCAATAAAATAGCCCAAGAGAGAGCAAGTATGTATTTGCTACAGGAATCTTACTCACACTGTACTAAAATTAGCCTTCAGGAAGCATAGGAAGTTGACAAAGAGACTCAAGAATAGTAACATAATTAAGAATGAAATCTCGGTGCAACCCGATTTAACTTAACAGGCAACTGTGACTGTGAAGGCCAGTTGGAAGAAGCACATTCAGAATAGAAGTGTGACAGAGTGGCTGGGGGTGAAGAGAAAAGAACCACGCTCGCACCTTCCCCTTCACCTGTAAGGGGTCCAAGAGGTCATGGAGCCCATGGTCCAGGACAGCATGGAGGAGTGTAGGGGTCGGAGGAGCTCCTAATCTGGCCCTTATGGCTCAACATCTGATGCAGTCAGCAGTATTGGAGATACGCGGCTCACATGGGTTCCTCTCTTAAGAAGATGGGATAATCCCTGCATGACCCATCACCTCCCTGATCAGTATCATCCCAAAGTCGTGGCAGGAGAGATTGCAAGGACTGGGATACCCTAACCTTCTGAGGGGAGAGAACGGACAGTGACTGTGTTGTGAAGACATGGCTACATAAAACCACCAAGATGTTTCTTCTTTCAAAAAAGGAAGTTGAAGATGACTTGGTCACAAGAAGATACATTTCTTAACCTGGAGATTTTCAATTTTTCAGAATCACTATTCTCAGGCAGGTAACTCTTTTGGACAGCCAGTGGGCTTTTCTTTCTGGATCTGCCTGCAGTCCAGCTTGATGTTGCTTACCAAGCTGCAGCAAGATGACTAAAATAATAATGTGGCGGATTACCAGGATGCAGTAAAAGCCAGAGGTTAATTTGTTAGCAACACACTAAAAAAAAAAAAGATCTGTCAGCATATTTATGGGATGGAATTCCACAAGCCTGCTGAGAAAGTTAGCTGCAATACAAGTAGTTTATTTTGCTTGAAAAGTTAAAATAATTGGCATTTCTATTATGAATACGACATACCAGATTTTCTCTGTTGCATTTTATCTTTCTCTTCTTGGGAGTGTAGCTACACAGAAATGCTGAGCATTGCCACTATATGCCCGGTTCTCATGCTTTCCATTACTGCAAACAGACTTTTGAGTGTAGGGGGAAATAGGTCAGGGTTTGCTAGTTTTGAAGTAACCAGAGGCTAAACTCTTCTAGATTTATAAGTCCAAGGGACAGATTTTTTTTCAGTGAACTCCCATGGGGAAGGGAGAATTTCCACTTCCTCTAGGGTCAAGGTCTTCCCATCACCATGGGAATCATACTCACCTCATCTGCACAGAACAAAGTTTACAGGTGCCTTTGTAGTTAGGATGTTTTTTTCCACCAGATGAAAGCTCCACAGACAACAACCAAGCCAGTATGAAGTCTCCAGATTCATGCATGAAGTTCCCACAGGGGCTTCTACAGAAACCTCTCTCAGGATTGTCATTTGCAAGAATATAAAGGATATCTGCTTATCAGGTGGAAAAACAGAAGGAACACTTCCCTCTAAAGACATTAGCTAAGTAATAACCACAGATAGAGCTGCTGACAGCTTATAGCTGATCACCAAGGGCTTCTGGAGAAAACCTAAAACAAGCACTTTTCTTACATAGTTTATTCCAGTTAGCCACACTGAGCATAACTACAAACTTAGCAGTAGTGCTTTGGGGAAGCTGATACTTGGATTTCTTTTACATTGGAACTAATATTCTCAGTCTGGAAACAGGATTGAGTGAACTGATAATCTATTCTGGAAGCAATTGGACACATCTCCTGACAGGCTTCCTATTTGGAAAAGTTCATCTCTTCTTGAGAGATAAAAGAGCAACATGTAGATCTCAGTCCTGAGAAGCATTTTGGGCACCTGAAGGACACCAATTACTTCTTGTCAGTTCTGGCATTACTGAGTGCCAGTCCTGAAAAGTTTAAAGAGTTGGGGACTGCATCACCCATTCATAATGCAGCAACATCCCAGTTACATTGCACAGTTACAGGATTTATCTCAGAAAAATATTTAATAAAAGTCAAATTATTTTAATAATTGAAACTTTTTATTATGTTAAATATGTATAAAAGTTATATATTTGTAAATTATGATTACTAGTTTAGGTTTACTATCAAAGTTACTTTAATACTGTACATTTTAGAATCATTTAAAAGAAGGGGGAAAAAGGAAAAACTGTAGGTTTTTATATCGTTACACACTGCTTGTCAATGTGTGACTTTCATTTAATTGTTGTTAGTGTCTTTGCTTTTATAATCTATGCAGAGTAGTAGAAAGCTTTGGGTTATATCTGCCCAAACCTTTCTGGCAGACACAGTATGATATATATTAAATTTAGTGTTTTTTGCATTTTATATTTATTTTGTTTTTCTTTTCCCTCTTTTCCCCCATGATCTTTTCAAGAATTTGCTTAGGAATGCATGCTGTTATGAGCTCTTAATATATGGGAGAATGTGAGTATTATAAACTACAGCAGCATACAGATAAATATTGTATATTTGATTTATGGAAAGTGGCAAATTGCCAACCATATACAAAGTTGAACATAGAAGATAGTCATGGAGAAAGTCCAGCCCTATCTAATGTGTATCTTGGAATGGTAAGGGCCTTAACAGATCTTTTAAAAAGAAGAAAATATTCTTTTCTCAAAAATCAGAGGGCTGATAATGCTATGCTCCAAGAAACTCATCTGTCGGTAAAGGAGTCTAAAAAATTGGAGCAAAGTTGGCTTTGGTTAGCAACCTATACTGTGTATAACACAGAGTCATATGGAGTTTCTATTTGCGTATGTAAAAAATGGTGCCCATATTTAACTGACACAACTTATGATCCAAGGGGTAGATGTGTTGTCACAAATGTTAAAATGATGGATTTTATTTTTATTTTGGGACGCATCTATGGTCTCAATGCAAACAATTCAGCATCTTATCATTCTTTTTTGTCTGAATTTGAATCTTGTCTGAAAAGACCATCACATTCAAGGGAAAACCTGCATTCTAAGAATATTTCTAGCTACATTTTGCAGACCAAGGTGCCTGAGAAGGAAGCCAGAATAACTCATGGCCAGTGCTTCAGCACATCTCCAACTTCTGGTGTGACTCTCGGAGGAGGCATGAGCAGGTTTTGGGAGTGATGGAGGCAGATCTGCCCAAGACTTCCATTCCATGCAATGCTCTCCAACATTGCCTCTGTTTCTCCGCGACAGCTACAAACTGGACAATAGCTTCCTGGTCCCCTCAACAGCTTCTGCCTGCTTTTTAGCCTGCAATACTCCCCTCTGCAGCAAGGAGGCACAGCACTCTCTACATGCATCTGTGGTGGTGGCCTGCTCCAGGGTTGTTGACAGCAGTTCTGCAAGCATCTCCATTCTGTCTGGCTCTGGCATCTGGCTGTCCTTAGGGCTCCAGTAGCACACTGCGGTCTTGGGTTTAAATGAGGTCTGGAGGCTGCAGGTACTGGTCCTGAAAAAAGTAGCAGAGAAACAGGTTTTCATTGTGAGCCTCCAGGTTTTACAGATAAAATGATAAACTTTTCTACATCAGCTGTCTGGACTGTTGTCCCCCTTTAATTCTACCTTCTGGCTTCCAGAATGGATAGTTTATGCTTCTCCTTGCTTCCCATTATATGTCTTAATGAGATCCCACATTCCAGTAGCCCTTATGCTTTAACCTCCCTGGGACATGCCCTGGGAGGAGTGGATGAGGAAGCTGGAAGTGATGAGTGATTGCAGTGGGGTGGAGGGGAGTTGTTGTTGCCAAATTTCAAAGTGGGGAGGTTCTGGATGACATGTAGGGCACCCCAGAACCCAAAACCCTGTCCCAGGAGTGAGTGCCCTGCTCCTGCTAGCTGGCGAGAAAGTTGGCAAAAGTTTCTGAACAGCTTTTAGAATACAGCCAAGGGAGTAGAAGGGGTGTGCTCTCCCTGCCCCCACCCTCAATAGTAAAAAGGGCAAGAATCTCTGCTAATGGTCCACTATTGATTTATCAGTCACAAAATTCTCTCATGTCCAGCTATTGCGGCACAAGATGGGTGTCCAGAAGAGCTGGAAGTGGGGATGGGGGGCTGCCTCATACTCATGGCTGTCATTAGGGTGGGATGATGTTGGGCATATCCACCAACTACTGGGGTTGAATGGAGTCATCCCTACAAGGATCTGTGACAGCTCTTCATGAGTGGTGGTTATTTGCTGGGCACCAGAGATCCACCTGTCATCTTGTGTCCCCATATCCCACAGCTGGAGGATCTTTGTCTCGGCCCTGCACTGATGCCAATCCCACTGATGTCCACAAGCTGCAGAAATCTCATGAAATGCATCATGGTTGTGGGGCCTTGAGCAGAATGCCTAGGATCTCTCTTCTTGAGCACAAATGGAGAGCAAGTTGAGCACCTCTTCCCAGAACCATCTGACAGAGGAGGAGGATGCCAGATCGGCCATTGCTCTGAAGCAGGGGTTTTCAACTGGGGGTATGCATACCCCTCGGGGTCCTTCCGATGACCTCAGAGGGTACTTAGCAGTGGGTGCCTCTGCTGGCATGTCCGCCGCCAGCATGCTCACCGATCAGCTGTGGACAACCCTGCCCCCTGGTTGTTGACTGGCCGCTGGGGGACTCCTGCCTTCTCAACCAGCCGCTGGGGGTACAATGACCCCAAAAGGTTGAAAACCCCTGCTCTAGAGCCATTAAGGGTACCAGGGGGTGTCCCGACAGGCTTTTTGGCCCAGTTGCCCTAGGCAGCCACCTTTGCCACCTGTGTGGAACAGGCAGCTTCGGCCCCGGTCTCCTTGCGCACCCAGCACCGTGGGGCAGAACGTGACCAGAGCAAAACTGGGGCCGGAAACGCCACGCGGGCTGGGCACGGCCATCGCACGTGGTCTCCCGCGCCCCCCTGCTCCAACAGGGACGGCTGGTAACGCCTGCCGCAGCAGGGTGGCCGCTGCCCTCGATGCAGCGCTGAAGCGGACGGAAATGCCTGGCATTCAAAAAGCTGTCGGACTTGGCCCTAAGAACGCCCTGAACTTCGCTTGATTTTGGCACCGCTCCGGCTGCACCGCCCCCGGGAAGGGCAGGGCAGGGTAGGCAACGCCAGGACTCCAGTCAGTGAAGGCCGAGGGGCAGCTCCCCGGTTTCTGCACACATCCCCCAGCAGCCCGGCCCGCCACGCTCTTTATGACGCCATCAGCGGGCGCCCAATGGGCGAGGGACGGAAGTTCCATCCGGCCGGGGCGGGCTCCCATTGGCTGCGGCGCGCGGCGGGCCATGGCGGGGCGCAGCGTGGTGGCCTGGCGCGGCAAGGCCGAGTGGGACCAGGTGATGGTGGGGCTGTACGGCGGGGACGGCCGGCTGCAGCAGCACGCGCTGGACCGCGTGTCGGCCTGGAAGAGCAGGTGCGGGGCGGGGCGGGGC